CAAAACGACAGCAACTTGTCTGTTCCCCTTCCGCCAATTCCCCAGCGCTGTTCCCCTCCCCCAATTCCCCAATAAAAATCTTTTAAAAAAAAGGTGTTCAAAGTGGTTACTATCAGCATCCAAGCACTTCTGATTACAGTGAACTACTGCTTGAGCAACGTTAACCAAAGTGTCCCCTTGTACACATTTTTTGGGTATCCCCGGTATATACAGAGAGTACCAAAAAATGTATAACATTTTAAGAAAGGAAAAAACTGTATTAAAATTATGCTGATGGTAATGAGCACCTCTTGTAGATGCAAAAGTCAAACGTGAGACTTGTATTCATCTTTTGTTATTGGTATATATACATCACTGGTGGAAATGTAAAATGGTGCAGCAGCCCTAGAAAATAGTTTGTGTTCCTCGAAAAGTTAAACATAGAATTACCATATGATCCACTTCCAAGTATATGCTCAAAAGAATTAAAAGCAGGGGCTCAAACAGATACTTGTACGCTGATGTTCATAGAGGCATTATTCACAATAGGCAAAAGGTGGAAGCAATCCAAATGACCCAGCAACCCAAGCTGATGAGTAAACAAAATGTATTATATCCATACAGTGAAATATTATTCAGCCATACAATGGAATGAAGTACTGATACATGCTACAACATGAATGAACCTTGAAAACATTCTGAGCAAAAGAAGCTAGTTACAAAGGACTACATGTTATATGATTCCATGTATATGAAATATCCAGAATAGGCAAATCTATAAAGACAGAAAGTAGACTAGTGGTTGCCTAGGTCTGAGGACCTGAAGGGTTGAGAATAATTGCTAAGGGATAAAGGATTTCTTTTTAGGGGTGATGAAAATGTTCTAAAATAGATGTGAGTTGTACTACTCTGTGGATGTAATAAAAGTCATTGAATTGTATGCTTTGGGTGAATTATGTGATATATGAATTCTATTTCATTAAAACTGTTAAAAAAAATAAAAAGAAATGTAAGGGCCAGAGCCTGGTATCTAACTAGCAGGGTCACAACAGGGAGATTGAAAACCTCTAAAGCCTCCAAGACCAAAGGAATTACCACTGCTGGGCAAGAGCTGGGGAATTCTCCAATACCAACTCCAGGAACCTACTAGCTAAGTGAACCCAAGGGAAGAACCATGGCCTTGGGAGGTTTCTCCAGTTTGTTTTCAGGAACTTATGTTTGTTTATGTCCCATGAATCTATCCATGTCCAAAGAGGATAATGCGTAGTGATGCAACTAGGGCTCTGTTCCTTCTCTTGACCTCTGCTCTTTTCAATGACAATATGTTCCTTTCAGAGTCCTTAGCTCCAGGATGGACATATCTCCTGTTTATTAGTAACCAGGGGCCCACAGAGTTGGGAGATCATCTCATTTGAAAGCTGGAGAAACAGAACCCAGAGAAGGAGAATTGCCTGCGCACTCACACAGCCAGTAAATGGCATAGAGGGGACTCAAATCATTCCCCTAAATTCCCCATGCTAGTGACTATATCTTTAATGAATCAGTTATAGCCTAAAGGACAGGGCTCAGGCCAGGGGGAGGGGAGGGATGGTAGGAGGGAAACGGGAAGGGGTAGGTGGAGGTGGAAGGGGAGGAATGTGGTAAAACAGTAGTAGTTACTATTTTGACTTATACTTTTTTCTCCTTAAGGACACCACCCCCCGATAGTGTCCTTTTCTAGTTAACCATATGGAGCTGTGGCCTAGAAGACTTGTTGGTTCTTAAAGGTCATTGAAGGGTTTAGTCCATTTTAAGAAATGGGCCATAGCAGGAGGAAGGGAATATGAGTATTGCTGCTTTAGGGGATGTCCCTGGCTCCTTTGCCTGAGTGGACCTGCTGTGGCCCCTGTCAGCTTGTCCTTACCATCTAACTTCAGGGTCTCTAAATGAACTCCTTAATGGCTGGGAAGTTCCCTCACTCTCATCTGCCCTTTCCTAGTCTCTCTCTTCGCCCTGCACTCCCCACCCCCAAGTCTAGTCTGGAGACTTAGAGGAGGGAAAGGAGTGAATTTTCCCTCTCATAGACTCACCAGAGACACGCAGAGCACAGTTCAGAGCTCTTGCTCTCAAGCTTTGACTGGTGAGCTAAAGATAAGAGTCGGATGAGTGGGCAGAGACTGAAAACCCACCAGTCTCTGTAGGTCATCTCCTCCATTCTTCTGCCTCCATTGGAACTGCGATACAGTGCTGCAAGTTGGGAAACTTTTTTTTGTGCCAGAACCCCTTTGCACTCTTAAAAATTACTAAAGACCCAAAGAGCTCGTTTATATATGTGGCCTTTATCTATTGATACTTACTGTATCAGAAATTAAAATTGAGGAATTTTTAAAAATCAGCAAGTTCATTTCATAAATGTGAACATAAGTAACATTTTTATGAGAAATACATTTTTCAAAAAAATTTAATGAGAAGAGTGGAATTTTTTAATACTGGGCTTAATAAAAGACAGATGGATTATCATATCTGCTTTAGAATTCAGTCAACTGCAATATGGTGTTTTGGTTGAAGAATATAAGAATATCTGGACTCATAGATATTGTAGTTCGAAAGGGGGGGAATATTTTAGTGGCTTTTTCAGATAATTGTGGTTATTCCCTTTAATACTACACCAAAATTAAACAACTATTAGTTTTGTAAAGGTTGAAACCATACTAGAAACGTTTCATACCCTGTTACATTAAAATCATTGGTCTATCTTTGGATGGTTCTTTTACTCATAAATGGTTTTGTAAAATTGTGCATTAGTAATTTGAGAAATATTGGTTCACTGAGTTATGTAGATCTTTCAAATATCGACACATTTATTATATAATATCAAAAAACATACTTGTTAATATCACCACCTATCTCATCAGAAAAGTCTTTACATTCTGATGAACTGTC